AGTTTTCATGCTTCTAGGGTTGCATGGGTGTTGTGTGCATAGGTTATACGGTGTCCGCTTACCATGAAGTAGTTCTTGCCTGTAAGCCTTGTTGCTATCCAAAGTTGTATAAAACAAAAACAATCAGCCGAACATAGTACCTCCCCCCATTCATTTATTGATTTATTTATTGTATAAACAATAATATTTTTCCATCACATTGGTTATTTTTATTTTGGAAAACGTTAGAATAATATCATTGTATATATTTTTTTGTTATTTTATTGTTATTATTATATGTATTACATTATAATAATAGTCACGGGCAAGTGCTGAAAATCAGCGCCGCGACTCGAGCGCACTCGGGTCACGGCATTTAAGCTGAGCTCTGGCCTTTTTGCGGCGTCGTCATTGTTTTAATTTTTTTGTATGTATTGTACTTTGTGACGGTGTGCAAATAAACAATTTTTCTTTATTTCTTTCTTTCTATTTTTGAACTCGGCATCAACATGTTCTAAGTGTCACTGTTTCCTAGATAAGCTACTAGGTCAACTAGGTGATCTGCTGACACAAGATGTGGTGAATTTAAATAAAACCGCTTCTGTCAACTTCTGTGTACTGATCTAAGATGGTATAATATGTATTTTTTTTTTTTATTTTATATTTTCTATATTAGATATTTTGGTCTAACAAATCAGTTTTACCTTATAGTTTCATTGGTAACGAAACCATAGCTCGCTTTTACTTGCGACAACGCCATCTATCGAGCTATGAGACAACTTTTGAACAATAACATATTTTTTTTAATTCAACAATAAGTTTGGTCTTGAACAGTCACACTGAGAACTTACTTGCTCATCTGAATAGCCTTACAGAAATTTCAAACGAAATGTTATAATATTACAGAACTAATAAATAAACTCGTAGTAGAGATGTCCAACATAGGAGTACGGACCTCAGCGTCATTTAAACCAAGGTCCAAGTATCAAGACCACGCCATAATGTACCTGACGGACCTGGACTGTGCCCAGTCGAGGACTGTCCTTTCTTACGTGAGTATAAAACGAAATAATTAATTTAATAAAATCAAAGTGTATCAGCTCTCATGTTGCTGTAAATTGTCTAGACTGGGACTTTGAAAGTATGAACTTTCGCGACCTAGCGTTGGAAGGGTCCTTACCTTTTTTTTTAAGGGGGGAAAATCATCGAATGACCGCTCTCGCTTGGGTGAGGCGGGAGGGAGTGTCAGACTCTTACTGACTACAAACTACCCCGTTCCTTCTCCTGCACGTCGAGCCGGAGCCCCGGTTACCCGTTAGGGCCCTTAGCTAAAGACTCCTCTACCAAAACGTGACCATCCGGTCGCGCACTCATAAATTCTCTGCTGTAACGGGAGCAGGTATCCACTGTCCATTAACGGCGCTGATGGCTTGTGTGATACGTTTGCTCGTTTGATCTCCATCTCATAAAATTGTGATTAATTTTGTACAGGCTTCATCCAAAGAACTGTTTCAATTCACGTACCGCTGGCTGATACTCGTGACTTCGCCACAACTGCAGCAGTCCAAGATCTCCCTACTCGAGAATGGACCAGTGCTGGTTGACAGTGACGTGGTGCTTGCTGAGAGAGTTGGAAACATGTTCAAGATGACCGAATGTAAGTAAAATTAACCGTCCATGTCCAACTAAAATGCTGGAAACGTCCCGTAACTCCTCTGGTGTTACGGTTGTCCAAGGACGGCGCTGATCAAGTGATACCTAACATCAGGTGATTAATCTGCTCTCTTTTCACCACCTTCATTACATTAATGCATAATTATATATAACAGGGAGCGAGCATTTGATTTATGCAATTTTTCCATCAAGTGCACAGACCTGGCCCCAACGGCTCCATGATATCCTCTCCCCGCGGCTACTACAACGGCAGCGTAGTGGACGTGCGCGCGCACCGCGAGCTGTACCGCCGCCGGCGCGACATGCGGGGGCACGCCATCACTATGTCCAACGTCATCCAGGACAGCAACACTACTCGTCTGCATCTACCCAGGGAGGATAGACTGTAAGTGGGGGGTTTACAAATAGATGTCAAGATTGCTAAATGGATTTACTGAATACTTACGATATCATCAACTGTTCCTGAGCAGTCCACAGGACTATGGGCCTCCTGCGCATAAGAAGGCCTGACAAAATTTGCATATTTGGCACCTGGATTGAAAATCGTAATTTAAAACGTTCAGGATTCTTAAATATGCTTATAATTTCCAGAAAACTTCAATACGATTCAATAACTAAAGCCTGCTGGTCAGCAGCTAAGATAGGCTTCGAGATGATCAACGCGACTCCTCGGTACATCTTCAGCTACCGGTACGGGTACAAAGTAAATGGGCAGTGGTCTGGCATGATCGCTGATCTCTACGCCAACAAGGCTGATATGGGTAAGTAGAAAAGTTCTTAAAAGAGAGTAGAACTACATGACCCTAATGGATTTAGGCCTCAAATAATTTGAACTTTATTTTCAGGCACGAACTGCGTAATCTTCCGCGATCGGTTCGACGTGGTAACCTACACAGACCTGGTGGCTCCCATGCGGATGCTCTTCATCTTCCGGCAGCCCCCACTGGCCTACGTAGCTAATGTGTTCTACCTTCCATTCTCTACTAGGGTCTGGGTGACGATAGCCGTGTGCACTGCTATAGCAACTGTAACTCTATTCCTAGCTAGTAAGGTGGAAATTGTGATTACAAAGGTAAGACATTTTTTCATGGTGATTTTGAAGTATCTACTTTACGTGGAGTCTGTCTAAGTTTATAAGAATTAACGGAGTCTTTTGAACTGATCATTCATCTGATTGTAAATTTTGGTTATAGACTACAACTCAACAGCAGTTGGATGGTGGAATATGTGACGCTCTGTTGTTGACCATGAGTGCCGTAACTCAGCAGGGATGCTACATAGAGCCCAGGCGAGCACCAGGTATGAGATTCTGAACAATATTAGCGTACTTATTGTCAGAAAAAATATACACTTGATAAAGACAAGACTAATAAACACTGATATTATGAAAAAAGTATCGGTTTTTACATAACATCACGCCTTTTATCTCCGAAGGGGTAGGCAGAGGTGCACATTACGGCACTTAATGCTACATACAATGTAACACCCACTTTTCACTATTTATGTTATGAGTCCCATGTAATAGGGAGTGAGCCTATTGCCATATACCTCTACCAGACACAATTCCAGACTCCGTGCTACTACTGAGAATTTTTAATCGGTTCTTACCAATTTCTTAATTTCATAGCAATAGTACAAAATGCTATTTTATGCTCAGAGTTTGGCAATAGGTGCACTTTGAGAATTTAGCAAGGCATAATGCTCAAGGTCGCATGATGGTGTTCGTGCTGTTCACGGCGCTGATGGCGCTGTACGCAGCGTACTCCGCCAACATCGTGGTGCTGCTGCAGGCTCCCTCCGACTCCATCCGCAGCCTGCCGCAGCTCGCCAACGCTAAGATCACGCTCGCAGCCAATGACGTCGATTACAACCATTTTGTTTTTGTAAGTATCTTTATGGGATATTTCTAACTCTATTTTCTTTAGACCTTTGTCTAAAAGTATTTGATTTTTTTATTTTCAGAATCAAAGCAGAGAGCCTTTATACATATCTATTCGCGACAGAGTCTTTCCTGAGAATGGTAAAGCAAAACTTTACAGTCTTGCTGATGGTGTTGAGAGAATCCGACAGGTGAGAATGAAATCTAAAAGCTCCATCTAATAAGCAAATCCAAGTAATGTACAAGCCACTCGTCATGCCGAAACAGTACTTGAATAGGACTCATAATGAAATTGCTTTTCTTTTCTCATAAGGGTCTGTTCGCCCTCCACTCAGTGGCAGAACCAGTGTACCGTCAGATCGAAGCCACGTTCCTGGAGAGTGAGAAGTGTGATATAGCGACAGTGGACTACCTCGTCACTTTCGACTCTTTCACCCCTGTGAGGAAGGGGTCACCTTACTTGGAGTTGATTAGAGTTGTGTTAGTTGTTATTGTATTTATTACTATGGCAGTGTTTAGTCCCTCCAACTATTGAATTGAAATTATTTAGGTAGATAAAGTACCTACAAAGACGTATAAGAATCTCTCTTTCTTCTTTCGTCGTGCGTTTGTGAAATTCTTATTAATGTTTCATGGAGTCTGCAGTTGTACGATGAAGCAAAAGCCACGCCTCGGCAAGGGCTGGCTCAACAATATTTTGTGCGCCTCAAATGGCAAAACAACAAGATCTGTACTCATGTTTTACAAGAATCTTCATCTTATTTTTGTCTATATCAACCGGAATGATACCACGGCCTCACTAAACAACGCTTGTGAATGTGTTGCCATCGCATTTATAATTTCTCTAGCTTTGAAGGTGTCTCGATTTTAATTGCTTTACCATCAGGTGACTAGTCTGATCATTCTCTATATCTTACAGGCACAAGCAGATTCGTGAATCTGGTATTCAGTCAGCAATCCGTAGAAGGTATCTCGTCTCCAAGCCTCATTGCACGACCAAGATGTCCTCGTTCAGCAGTGTGGGGCTGATGGACATGCGGCCCGTGCTCATACTGATGCTGTATGGTGTTGCCGTCTCCGTGATCATCGTGATTGGCGAGATTATTGTGCATAAATTGTGAGTATGCTGTTAACACCAAATCAAGCGCTTTGGGTGTTCGGCGCCTTATCACACAAAGAGGTTCTTGTTTAGAATGGGTTTAATAACGACCAAAATTAACCATTTTGCTTTTGTTTCAGAATTAACCGGTACTATAAGCAGAAATCGAAAGTTCAGATGGTTAAGACCATACATTACTAAAGTTTGAAAACCTCTTTCGTCTCTTTCTAGATAGCAGAGGAATATACGGCGTCAGTCGCAAGTGTATAGCGTCGTATTAGAAATTAAGATCTATCTTACAATGAACACAAAATAAATTACATTAATGCACTTTATTGTCATTTTATTTTTGCAATTATTCTGTAGCTATTTCAATTTTTCAAAAATTTACAAAAAATTACAACAAAAAAAGACAACCAAACGAGAAATACCTTAATTTTCTAGTGTAATCCCGTTTATTTTGTCATTTTACTTCGTTTATTTTCTAATGCTTTTTGGGACCTTATTGTGGTGGCTTTACGGGGGGCCTCCGCTTTTCTCTGTCTTTGTGCGTGCTTCGACCCCACACCTCCTACAGCTTTATTATTTACGTCTGTGCAATTATGGACGCGAACTTGGATCGGAGGTATAGGCGCTTTTATCTTCTGGTTTGTCATGTTCTTCGCTTTTAATTTGCTTGGCAAGGGCCGAATCGCATTCTTCCTCTTAGACCTCGTAGTGTCCTCTACCGACGCTTTTCCTTCATGTTGAATCGCTGTGGTCTTTCTTCCAGAACGCCAGTTGTCATCAGATCTACCGTCAGCACTTGCAAGTGTTCCAGCAGAAAGTGTTGTTACCATATTACGAAGATCTGACAGAGTCTGACCATGAGTTTTCACGTCGTTTTGTAATTTGTCCAACTTTTTTTCAAAGTGTTTGAAGGATGTCATGATGCGTTGCAAGGCATCAATCGGACGCGTCCTTTGGAAAGACATAGATTTTAATTATTAAGTACTTGGAATTACACTAGAAAATTAATTTAATTTGTTTTGCAAGAATTTGGAATTTTGTTTTACTCAAACTTGTCATTTTGTGACATAAGTGATTGTGGTTGGAGTTGTTTTTATTGAAACTCTTTTTCTTTGAACTTTTTGTACAGCAATGCCTACTTGAAAGCAATGTCCTTTTGTTTTGAAATCTATTGTAGGTAGATAAAATAATGAAAAATAAAAATGTAGGTTGGTAAGTCTTGTCCCGATTATTTCTATTCGTGAGAGAGTCATGCTTCGTCACAAATGCGACGGTTCGACTGGAGTGACACGGCCTGCTAGAAAACAGGGCTGAAACAATGGTTGCGTTGTGGTTCACTGAGTTTTATGGAAGACTCTCTCCCCTCACTGAAAAAAACCAAACTCCAAATGCTTAAATCCCTACCCAACTCTCTAAAAGGTTCTGGTTCCTAAAAGTCCATGATTGATGATTGATGATGATTCGAATCACCCAATTGTGCTGTGTGTGTGATGTAGCAGAGGACGTGTAACACATTTTGTATGACTGTCGACGTAGTGAGTCTCAGAGGTATCAAGTCTGTAGTTTTAAAAGCTTTAATATTGGTTTTTATCACAGTGTTATAGCATCACCATTGTCATCTGTGGCTAGAAAATTTTATCGTTTAATTATTTTATGTATAAGCTTAAACTGTCAAACACCAAGCGGTCACCGGTGACCGCAACCTATTGTTCTATGTGTCTACAAAACCGGTCCTCGACGAGTTAAGGGCTAGTTAAACCTATAAACGTTTTTTTATAGGGGGGAAATGATCAAATGACTCCTCCCGCCTGGGTGAGGCGGGAGGGAGTGTCAGACTCTTACTAACTAAAAACCACCCCGTTCCTTCTCCTGCACGTCGAGCCGGAGCCCCGGTAACCCGTTAAGTTCTCCGCAACCTATAAACGGTTTAGCTGCTTTATTTTAGTAAGTATGTACTGAAATTTGTATTCGATAATAGGGCTGAGGTTGTTCTATTAGGAAGAAATACCTTCTTATAAAAAAATCTCTATGAGATAACAAACATCACACACACATCGCACAAGTCTTTTATGTGTCTTTTATTTATTTTGTCTTATAAATGACTTGTGCAGAGCACAAAAATATTTTTTTTCTCTTAAGTGCCTTTTTTAACCGATAATCTAAGGTATTTAAACTGTCAAACACCAAGCGGTCACCGGTGACCACAACCTATTGTTCTATAATTGTGTCTATAATGACGGTACTCGACGAGTTAAATAAAATCATTAGTTACTTTCTCAGTAGATTAAAGATTTTCCAAAATATTTACAAAATTAACAGTAACGTTACGTGGAACGGAGTGCAAAATACTTAATAGTGCGTGCTATCGCTGGCAACATTTAGTCCCGGATGTCAAATTCGAAAGACACGTTCTGCAATGGGTGACACCGCTGCTGAGGAAATCCAAAAACTAAACATTGACTCAAAGGCAGGGTTTTATACATTATATTTAGTTTGAAAAAGTATATTAGTACGTTATGTAAGAAATGTTAAAGTTTATCGGCATCCGTGGGGGCTGTGTGGTCCGCTGCAAGGACTACGCATATGCCACATGGGTCTGTAGGAATTTCATCAGCGTTTTTTGCTGGAACGATTATCATGCGGTTTCCTTTGCCTGCGTTTATTTTTTTCTGTACCTAAGTTGTTATTATCTGTAATCTGTGTAAACTTACAAGAAGAGCCAAAATAGTTTGTGTTTGTCATAGTTTCGGGTCAAAATATGTTGCAAAACATTCGCTAGGTTATTAAAGTGATATGAACTGTGATTGTGACTTACATCTGTGTAAATTATACGTTTTTACGTAATTACTTTACTAAATTTCGGTCTTTGCATAGTTGTTTTGCCAGGGAAAGATGCTATCTAATAAGAAAATTGTGTTTTCATATATCTTCAACTGCCCCTGCTATAAATTCCACCTTCCAGATTCTAACTAGATTTTCAGTGTTTTGTTAGACTGGCTAACAAACAAATATTAAATTTCGTACAACATACATACCTATTTATGTAACTTATTTATTTACAACAATCCATTGTAGAAACAATTGTCCAACAAATGTTTATGTTTACAAAAAACTACAAAGATATTAATTAATAAATAAATTACAGTCAAAGGTCAAAGCCATGAAGGAAAAGAAGAAAAAAGCGGAGGAAGGTTCCGGTGGTGCTGCAGAACTGAACCCATGGCCGGAGTATATACAGAAACGTATCACTCTATGGGATAAGTTTAAAATTCAGTACGAAGAAGAATTGGCTAACAAACCTGATGTCAGCATTGTTGTGACGCTACCTGATGGTAAAACTGTTGAAGCTAAAGCCTGGAAAACTTCTCCATATGATGTTGCTAAAGGAATCAGGTGAGTTTTATTTTCTATTCCATATTTACAATCTTAAAACCATAATAAACAAGTTTGTTATTAATTAAAATGTAATTAAAAATAGAACTGGGTAGGCGTAAAAATATACAATATAGATAATCCTATAATATCTAGTTCCCTATAGAAAAACAACACATTTAAGTATTTCATGTCAAATTGTAGCTAAATTTAAACTTGATACCTAAGACGACCCAATGACCTAAATGTCTCAAAATACAACTACTTTCACCAATTTTCAGTATTAAAGAAAGTTGTCTACACACCATGACACATTGCTCATTCACATTTTTGCATAAGACATGCCTCTCAAACATCAATACAATACAAGCATGCAACCCACTCAACATTGTATGCAATAGTTTCCTTATATTTCATAAGCCAACTTCAAGTGTACAGTGGTATTCGTTGGATTGTCAACTGTATGTCAATACAATTAAGTTGACAATGTAACAGAGGATTTTTAAAAAAAAGGATAGCTTGATATGCTGGCCACCATACATACATTATTATTAGCATCTTTTCCTTGATATTCAGTTAGTATAATAGATATTTTTAATCAAATATGTATTGCTGTACTTCCTATATTAAGGTTTTCTAGATTAGATTGATATCGTGACTAACAGTTAGTTGGAAATTTTATTATTAAATGTGATAAGCAAAAATCCCCATGAGTGTGTAGGTGTCTGACTTTTTTGGAATTCCGTTACATATTTACCTGTTATTTTTATTAATACATAAAAATTTTATATGGAAGTATGTGTGTTTGTAACACGCTCGAGAACGACTGAACGTAATTTGATGAACTTTGACATACAATTTGTTCATGACCCAGATTAGTGTTGACAACATATTTTTTTTTATATCATAGTATGACTAATAAACATCGCATTGAGATAAAGTTTTCTTATATTTTGTATGTTTTATCACAATCTAATTATAATTTTGCAACTTAATAATGTTTTATGTTTTATTATGGGTACTGTTACTGTTTTTTAATGTAGTTAAAGTATTTTAATTTTAACAGTAAAATTTACATTTCTATAATACCTTTTATATTACCTATGCACACTACCACATTAATTATTACATTTAAAATTATGAACTCACACCTTTCTCACATGGAGGTAGGATGAAGCTATAGAGTACCATCTATGATGACACATATTTTTCTACCATCACATTTATAGTACATCTCATTACAAACTTAAAGATAAAAGAAACATTCTTTTTGGATTTGACATTCCCAAAGTAGGTCAGGGTCATCACTGAGCCTTAACCACATTCATTCAGCATTCCTGATTCGATTTTCGAATATCGAATTCTTTTTTTTATAATTTTATTTATGAACATAGATTCAAGTCTTTCAGTCGAATACATATATAATTTGTTGTATATCTAATTCTATTTATTAAGTGTTGCTATACTCCTGTTTAGAATGTTGCTATTTCAATAAATAATGATTAATTACTTATTTACCTGCACACAAGCGAGTGGTGGAGTGAATAGTAAGTACATTACCTAAGGGTGGACTGTTGCGATGGCTTGCACTGAAATATATCCATAATCTATATAATCTGTATTGTAATAATAACCGCTGAGGCATGGTTGATGTTTATTTAATAGTATGTTAATATTATAACGTTATATTTGTTGGGTAGTATAGTTGTATACTATTGGGAAACCCAATAATACTCCAAAATAACAGTTTGAAGATTGATATAATGTTTGATATATCAGGATAGTCGCGATGTAGGATTTGTATGGAAAGTTGCATTTAGTACCTGCAACTCTAGAAGGCTTGTTTTACTAACTATATAAATTCTTATTTTATATAATACTAGCTTCTGCACGCGTTTTCGTACGCGCATTCCAGTTGTCTCCCGTTCCCGTAGGATTTTCAGGACGGTACTTAAGACAGAAAAGTCTTAAGTACCGTCTCCTAATAATAACAAATTTAACAAAAAAGAATTATTGAAATCGGTCCAGCCATTCACGCGTAATGTCGTGACCAAGGGAAAGAGGGATTCATTCCAATCCTGCATATAGATAAGCAGGATTTTCTTATTGAAGCTCTTAACTATTTATTATAAGAAATCTTTTTGAGAACCAAAGAAAAGACATGTTTACTATGCATGCTATGTGTATCAAATGGCTGTGTGCAGCATGTCTATACATACATACTACATATTTATTATACATAATATATACCGCTTGTTGCTGTTCTTGATGTTTATAATGTTCATGAGACTATATATTATTACGCTTATACATAGATTTCAGTATATTTGTTCATCTTTATTGATTAGTAATATTATTCCAAAAATCCTGCAGTGAGGTGTCAACTTCAATGCCACTTTCAAATAGTTACTTATCCACACAAAAGTAGTCTCTAAACATCGAAAATAAGGTCTATAATGGATTTAGTGGAGATTGGTCACCGGTGACCACTTGGGGATCGATCAGATAGGTATTGTTAAAAAAGAGAACTGGCAATTTGTATGTAAACTGCCTAAGTTAAATGAAAGATGAATGACCTAGACAAAATATAAACTGTTATCAATTTACGTATTTTAATACTTGAAGTAAATAATGCAGTCATTGTTTTCAAAAACTTTGTTTACTGCATAGTCGTTTTAGAGATAAAATGACAATGTTCGCTATCGGAATATAAATGTATAACTATACATAGATGTAGTATGTTAGCTTAATAACAATTCCCAAGTGCACTAATAAATGCAACATTTACAATTTGAATAACATAAAGTTGGATTTATTTTGAGCCGCATACCTATTCATGTCCTATAACAATGGTTATTAAAAAAAATCTAATTTTATCTGCGAGGTTTTAACAGATCAACTTAAACTGACCATAACATCTCCAAAACCTCCAGTCTTCAGCGATCCCAGTACAAAGCCAATCCAACAAGTTCCACCCTATATTTCCACCTCCGACCCTCATGATGACTGTCCTCCATCACAGCCAGGGCCTCGCCGACTCCACCATCATCGCACGAGTGAACAATGAGCTCTGGGACCTGGACAGACCTTTGGAAGGTGACTGCAAGCTGGAACTCCTGAGGTGGGATAACACAGATGCTCAAGCAGTGTTCTGGCATTCGTCAGCTCATATGTTGGGAGAAGCTATGGAGAGGGTGAGTTTCTAAATCTGGAATTATTTTTATTTTCAAGAGAAGTGCGTAGCTGCGACGCCGACGTCGCAACGTAAATATGTGCGAGCTCCCTCAACACATCGCAAGAACTTGCGAATTGATTCGCATCGCGCATCCAAATCTTCTTTGTTTCTTTTCCTGTATCTCCTAAGCAATAACAGAAGTGCACACTTCTTTTTACGAGCTCGTGATCTGTTTTAAATTTAAAATACGTTTAGTAATTATGAATTATAAATCGCCGATTTCGATTGTCGCTCATCACATAGACGACGACTATACAGGATATACCTAATACAGAAGTGTTTGTGTAAAAATAAGAGCACTTTCTGTCCCTCATAATGTAATCGAACGCCACGGCAATCCTGACACGACATCGGCCGTACGAATAAAACTCAGTTTAACCTTCAAGTCCTGACGTGGTTTACTCATACCATAAATGGTGACGTGACGTATGTCAAACACCTTAACAAATAATCGAAATGGATTACTTGTATATACTGATTTGCACAATATTTACTTGTATTATGATTGGTCCAATATAATTCTATTAAGGAAGTGTAAAAAAAACATTTTCGAATGAAATCAGCGGTTTTTGATTCAAATTCTATGAACTTAAAATATAATATTTCGCTGAACTTAAAAAAATATGTTACAATCTTAGCTACAATACTATTGTTTGGACGTTTTTTTGGAAAATTCTTATATTCGTGAACACGCCGTCTATGAGACACCCACGTCAGTAGTTAAAGGTTAAATTATGGGACTCAACATAAACGGCTGTTACATCGCATCCTAGGTACCTTTTTGAAGCTAAAAAGGCTAATGTTATGTTGGTCAAATTTTCAAGTTGTATACCACGTGTTCCGCCTGGTCTCGTCTGAATTACAATGTGCCACATTGTGAGTCACGCACAGGAAACATAGTGTATACCTAGGTATTATAATTTTTTGTTTGTTAGTCAAGGTCTCTGTTTGGGCTACGTTTTTTATTCTAGATATTCTTTTTTGATTGAACATTTTGATTTTTTGACTGCTCACGGTTAGCGTAGTCAGTTTCACTGAGTTACCGGATTCTGTGTAATCTGTTGCTGGTTCGATTCCCGCACGGAACAGAACTGTGTGAATTTAAGGGTGCGTCCACATCGCACCCTAACATAGAAGGAAATCTTAATGTCTTTGAAATTATCACTGACATATTACTAACTACAAGAAGGTCACTGCTGGACACAGGCCTAATGAGATATTTGAATAAAAAGTCCTGATGTACCTAATACCTTGCTACCTACATACTTATATTTTGTATTGTTACCTTTAGGTATACGGAGGCTGCCTGTGCTACGGACCTCCCATCGAAGAGGGCTTCTACTACGACATGTATTATCCTGAGAAGGGTGTAAGTTTTCACTTATTATTGCAATTATTTGTATAGACTAGCTTCACCAGCTTGAAGCTAGAAATCTAACTATGCACCTACTATTATTTCGGATTAATCGGTTCTCGAAATCAGCCGTCAATTGAAAGAAGAAAGAAAGAAAACTAATTTATTCGCCACCAGACATGGGCCACCGAAAATTAACACAAACATAAACATTGAGAAACAAAAAGAAAACAATATAAGAAAACAAAAAAAACAACAATGAAGGCAAAAAAAACATAAAAAAACAAAATAAAAGAAACAGGGTGGCAGCATGTCCACGACGAAAGGGCTCGCCAACTCAGTGTAAGCTGGGCACAGTAAGTACCCAACACTGGTTTTCAGTTGGCACCCCTGCAGTGACGCACTCACAATTGAGAAAATCTCTACCATTCTGCTTTTATTATAGCAAGTCATTTATTAAATACTCTTTTTCTTTCTCAGATATCCTCAACGGACTTCCATGTTCTAGAAGGATTAGTGAAGAAAATAGCAAAGGAAAAACAACCGTTCGAACGTTTAGAACTGACGAAGGAACAATTATTAGAAATGTTCGACTACAATCCGTTTAAAGTGCGCATTTTGAACGAGAAAGTGAACACGCCTAAGACCACGGTGTATCGATGTGGACCCCTTATCGATCTTTGTAGGGGGCCCCATGTCAGACATACGGGGAAGGTCAAGGCGCTGAAGGTCACTAAGGTATGTTGGTTTTGGATTACTTAACTAGCCGCTTAACTAGCCCCCATGAGAGCAATTAATCGGGATAAAACGTATCACCTAAGTCACCCCATACCCTGCCTGTATACCCATCAAAATCTGTTTAGTAGTTTCAGCGTGATTAACGAACAAACATCATCCAAACAAACAAGCTTGCACAGTGATTTATGGTCAATAATGAAAATAATTTATTTCAATTATTAATAAAGTTACAACACTATCTTCTTAAACGTCAACAAATACAAAATAAATAATAGTCTGTCCGTCAGTGAAGCTAGGTGCTCATTCCAAAATGTAGATTCGAATGGAAAAGAACAAGCAAGAAACTCCATTCGTTACTATCTTACTTCTTCATCGAATGTTTTAGTATAAAAATGTTACAATAAATTCACCCTCAATACACGAATCTCAAAGTCTCATACATAACATAACTAATCTTATATTTTATTCTACTTCTTTAATAACAATATGTTCTTGTAGAACTCGGCCACATACTGGGAGGGCAAGGCAGACGCGGAGAGTCTGCAGCGAGTATATGGAGTGTCGTTCCCGGAGCCCAAGCAACTCAAGGAGTGGGAGCATATACAGGAGGAGGCCGCTAAGAGGGACCATAGGAAGATTGGCAAGGTATGTACCTACTAGTGCAATGGTTCAGAAGTTGTTTAGACTGTAAGTTATCTAGAACTAGTTCTGAGACAATAGTAGGGACCCATCTTTATACAATGTATAAACTGTAACTAATTGAAAAAAAAAAGAAATGGAACATTCGGTTGGTGCGTCATTTTTGCCACTTACAAACAACATAATATCACGCCTTTTATCCCCGAAGGGGTAGGCAGAGGTGCACATTATGCCACTGTACAATGTAACACCCACTTTTCACTATTTATGTTATGAGTCTCATGTAATAGGGGGTGAGCCTATTGCCATATACCGGGCACAATTCCAGACTCCGTGCTACTACTGAGAATTTTTTAAAACCCAGTAATACTTTGCCCGACCCGGGAATTGGACGCGAGACCCCTTGCCCGGCAGTCGCACTTGCGACCACTCGGCCAACGAGCAGTCACTTACAATTCGCTCTATATTCAAAATTGTTCTAAAGATTTCCAAAACACACGATGACACGATTATGATCTAAGTTCTATACTTCTTTGACTTACGTTTTTAAATTAAAGACTGGCTATTCAGACTGTCTTGCGTTCACACGAATTTGATCTTTATTGTTACAACACCAATAGCTATATTCCTTTGAACTGTCCGAATGTTAAATAGACTTGCTATTCCCTTTTAACACACGAATATGATCTTTATTGTTACAGGAACAAGAGTTATTCTTCTTCCACGAGCTGTCGCCTGGATCGTGTTTCTTCCAGCCGCGTGGTGCTCACATCTACAATACGCTCGTCAACTTTATTAGAGAACAATATAGGTGAGTGTACTTTTATATAATGCCTGTTGAACTTTAAAGGGATAGACAGAAGTGTTTTTCTAGTGCAGATATTAAAATTGTGATTAAGGTTGACGTTATTGTCAAACATTGTGATTATTTCTTGGTACTATGATATTATTGTAAATATTAATTAATAGGGTAGATGACTAATTTTTATTTAATGTCCGTCTGGTAGATTATTTAAAAACATTAGACACGTATTTTTTATTGTCTTACGAAAACGAATAGTTTTGAAGATATAATAATTATATTGTGAAAATGATAATCCTTTATTATTGTAGTTTGTGATTACATTAGGTGATCGTGCTTGGGGACTTCTTTTAAGGAAGATGCGCTTGTGTTAGGAGACATCTATAGAGAGATATTGATTTGAAATATCGCATGACGTCACTTTTGAGTACGATTTATACTTTAATATTACGTAGCTACCTCCCCCTCCTAAACTTTGATTCGTTTTATCTAAGTATTGTTTTCTTATACGACAAAATAAAAAATACGTGTCTAATATTTATTTATTATACTAATAACGAATGACTGAATAAGTAGGTAAGTTGAAATTATTTGCCATAGTCTGTATTTAACCTGGGTGTCTTCAAGGCCCGAGTGAATACTTGAATAGGTTGGTTATATACGTGATCAATCGTAGACCGCATCATCGCATACCAACAGGCGAGATAGTAGTCAAACGTCGGCACATCAATTAAAAAAATATTAATTGTGTAAAAACTTTAAAGCCAAAAACTACTCGACCCGAGAATCAAACTCAACATCACACAGCAGCCACATTACCGACCACAATGCGACAGTCGCAGCGGCAGCAGTAAATAGACATTTATATAAAACAATTAGTATTTTTACTCGACTCAAGAATTATTGGAGTGGGCTGTAAAAAATACAATATTCGAAAGATATAACCTAACATAGGGGACCATATTTTATCGGACAATATAAACATAGTAATCTAAACCATAGATAACATATATATTATTGGTCTATACTGCCATAGTAGATGTGTATCGAAATTATCAGCCACTCAGGTATTTCATTATCTGTGGCTTGATTAAGTTGACATGTTAATGGCAAATACTCATTAAGAGTTATCTGGAAGCAAATATTTTGACGTCATATTGAAAGAATGGGTTTTGATAAAAACATAAATGAATTGATGTCCTACTTTTTATGAAGTTGGTTAAAAGAAATTAACCTATCTTAAATCGTCTTATTAGTTGATTTATCGTTCGCGACTGCTGACTTAAACTGTCAAACACCGCGAGGACACCGGTGACCGCAACCTATTGTTCTTTAATTGTGTCTATAATGACGGTACTCAAAGGGTTGGTATCTGGTTCGAATATGCGTACTGCTAAATAGTAGAATTCTTTGCTAGTCTTTGTTTTCTGAAGGGGATAACCTGGGTGTCTTCAAGGCCTGTGTGAATAGGTTGCTTATGGGACGAAGTGCTCCATCGTAGGCCGCATCATTGCCGGCCCACGAAATAAAAAACAATAAGCGTGATCTTTGTTAAAAAGATGAGTTGCAACTGTCGGTGATTTTCAGGAATAAAACTCTGAATAAAAAAGTTTCATTTATCATCATAAAAATTGTTTTTTTTTTTGTAGATTGTATAGGTAAGTGCATCACAATAATATCTAACAATATCACTTTCTATCGACCTAGAACCCGTGGTTTCCAAGAAGTTGTAACCCCGAACATGTACAATTCGAAGCTGTGGCAGACGTCGGGCCACTGGGCTCACTACGCCGAGAACATGTTCTCATTCGACGTCGAGAAGGAAACCTTCGCTCTGAAGCCTATGAACTGTCCTGGACATTGGTAAGCGCATATCTATTTGTTCTCTATGTGTAATCTATACTAATATTATAAAGAGGAAAGATTTGTACCTATTTTTGTATGTTTGTATGTTTGTAATGAATAGGCTCAAAAAGTACAAGGCCGATTTAAAAAATTCTTTCACCAACAGAATGCATTCTTCCAATTTTGACATAGGCTATATTTCATTTTGAAAAAAATTAGGGATCCTTGGTAAAATTTGAACAATGCAACCGAAGGTGTAGAAAAATGAGTCTTAAAATGTATTTCGTCGAATGCGCTGCCGAAACTATTAGCGATAGAACAAAATAATGTACAACAATATTGAAGAACATCATAATATCTACAAAAAACTCCGCGGTAGCATATGTCCAACTATTGTAGTTATGTCACTACAACAATCCAAATTTCCAAAAATAAATAATTGTCTACCCCGTGCGAAGCCGGGACGGGCTGCTAGTATCTTATAAATCAGTACATTTTTAGTAGCCAACCAACCACATTCATACTTCAATAAAAAAGAATAATGACAGTTTTTAAAAAGAACTTACAACACTCTTGTTAAACAAATGTTATTACTCTGTGTCTGATTAGTTAGCTGATAAATTGTAAGTGTGTCATAATATGTCTGATGATGAACCTGCATCAATGTTTGCATGCTAAAATGGTAGAATGTACTAGGATACCTTATTAGTGTTTCAATTTCACCTCATTATAAATACCTGTATTCTGAGCAAATAAATAATTATTCTATTGTATCTTATTTCTTTTTTACATCTTGTGAATTGTTTGATTATTCCATTGTATGAGTAATTTTGCCCATCAAGGTCAAATTTTTTAATACAAACTTTTGACACTTAGTCTTATACGCATGTCGATAGGTTCCCAGATCTGCAACAAAGCGATAAAGTTAAAATGTTATGAATTGGTCTGTTTTATATTCTGTTACACGAGATGATTCGACTAGTTTCGAGTCACACTTAGGGCTCATAGTCTTGAATCACTGTTACATTAAATAAATGTCATTATCTGTCGCCTACAGTTTAATATTCGACAACCGGATCCGTTCGTGGCGCGAGCTGCCCCTGCGGCTGGCAGACTTCGGCGTGCTGCACCGCAACGAGCTGTCGGGCGCGCTCACCGGACTCACGCGCGTGCGCCGCTTCCAGCAGGACGACGCGCATATATTCTGCGCGCCCGCGCATATTGAGCAGGAGATGGTACGTCACTTACTACTTTAACGCTAACTTTGTACTTGAAGGCGCTAACTTCACTCAACCAAATTATGATTACAACTTACTATGTAAAAACAACGCTTGCGTTGTGTTTCGTCGTGTGAGTTCGTTCTTAGTCCCCGTCTCCCGAATCCCCGAATCCTCCACAATCCTTAAATTCCCAATTCCCAAAAGGCCGGTAACACCTTGGTGTTTCGAGTGTACATGGGCGGCGCCGATTGCTTACCGTCAGGTATGCTAGTTTACCGGCTTATGCTATAAAAAAAAATTGAAAAGAAAAGTCTATAGTGGTTATTGTGTTTTTATTTTATTTAATATTATTCACTCATTCAACTTTGTCTTTTCTTTCAGCTATCGTGTCTGGACTTCCTGAACTGCGTGTACTCGACGTTCGGGTTCACGTTCCAGCTGAAACTGTCCACTAGACCAGAGAAGTACCTCGGAGACCTTGCCACTTGGGATCAGGCTGAAAAGGTACTGTAATATCCTATTCTATGCACAATAACTGATATTTAAAAGGTAGTTGTTAACTCTCAGGACTGCCGTGATGGGTAGACGTAGTTTTAATACACGTTTCGAGTTAAATGTAACAAAATACACCGGAGAATTTAGTCATCTCATTTGTGACGACTTGACTAATGTGTTTAAATGAGAAGAAAATTTAAAATAATACTTGGAAACAAGAATTAAAATATTCGTGTCGGGTCGCGCGTAAAGTATATAAATGCATACGTCATTAATTATTATGTTTTCGGCCTACTCTCGTAACTGTTTGACGAGGAACTCGACTAGTTTCAAGCCATGCTAGAGGCTCATACGCATGAGCAGCATGTCACGACCCGGACTCGTCAAACGTGAGGAAGCTGAAAAAATCACAATAGGGTGGATGACTAATTTTTATTTTAATGTCCGTCTGGTAGATTGTTTAAAAACATTACACACGTATTTTTTATTTTCTTACAGAAACGAATACTTCCGACGATATATTGATTTGGAATGTCGCGTGACGTCACTTCTATTTGCATTTTATACGTAGAAATGACGTTTTAGCCCCCACTCCTAAACTTTGATTCGTTATATCCAAGTATTATTTTATTATAAAACAAAATAAAAAAATACGTGTCTAGTGTTTTTTCATTACCTAACTTACGGACTAATTAGATTTTTAATTTTCATACCCTATCATCATCCCAATTAATTTATATGTAATAATAATATAAACAAATCCGTACGTCAATCAAGATGTATTATTGAATTTAAGCGTAAAGTGTTTTCGGGGATTTTTGACATTTTTATTTCTAATTAATATTTACTCTTTCACAGGCGTTAGAAGATTCCCTGAACAAGTTCGGTCGTCCATGGCAGTTGAACCCAGGCGACGGCGCGTTCTACGGACCCAAGATAGACATCACTATACAGGACGCACTGCGCCGGTCGCACCAGTGCGCCACTATACAACTCGACTTCCAACTGCCGGAGAGATTCAACCTTACTTATGTTAGGTGAGCCTAATGTACTTAGATATTGAGAAATTAAAGTAGGTAGCGTCTGAAATTAAAAAAAAATAATTGTAAAACGAGTGAAGGCTCTTGACACACTATTTTATTGTGTCTTATGTCTTCTACAAATTCACGGACCACAGATAAACTATTACCACAGACTATACTATGACCATAGACTATACCACAGGTACACAACATAAATTGAGTAGGCTCTTAACAAAAAAGTGACAAGTTATTCACGTAAATATACTGAGAAAAGCTCTAATAGTTTGGAGCGACAGCGGTCTGTAGGCTGCGCGACATCGCCGCGACTACGCACGCTGCTCATGAGAAAGAGTCCCTCTGTAACTCGAAACTAGTAGAGCTTTTCTCAGTATATTTGCGTGTGTAACGCCCGAATACTGAAAGGCTAAGTCAATTTTAATTTGTACTTAATATCGTGCCATCTCTGTCTTTTTACAAAAAAAATGTATTGACAGAACTTCTGAAGCGTGACTCGTAATTTTTAGTTAATCTACGATTATGAAAAATCCACAACATTTGTTCATAAAAAGTAGTCTTTAACCATCGAAAATAAGGTCTATAATGGAGTAAGTGGAGAGTGGTCATCCTCACCGATAACCGCTTTGGGGTAGGGCTAACTTAACTGCCCTACTCCAAACTATGACTAAGTATGTCTCACGATGGTTATTATAAAAATAGACAGACGCCTGTCATCAATGAACTCAAATATAGATAAAATTGTTATTGTAAGTCCACTAGTGATGGAGTGATACTTGAGAAATGATTACTTACATACATACATAACATCATCCTCGAAGGGGTAGGCAGAGGTGCACATTTCGGCACTTAATGCCACTGTACAATGTAACACCCACTTTTCACTATTTATGTTATGAGTCCCATGTAATAGGGGGTGAGCCTATTTTAGCACATTCAGTAGTAAAATAGTAAAGTAAAAAATAAAACACGTTGTTTTTAATATCTTTTTATTTCTCAATTTTCAGTGAGAGTGGCGATAAGAAACGTCCAGTGATCATCCACAGAGCTATCTTAGGTTCAGTGGAGCGAATGATCGCCATCCTCAGCGAGTCATACGCCGGGAAGTGGCCATTCTGGCTCAGTCCACGGCAAGTCTGTGTTGTGCCCGTCGGTCCCAGCTTCGATGATTATGCTGTGCAGGTTAGTCTTTTGTGCTATTGTTGAGGAACAGTTCTGGAATAGAAAGTGTATATTACTATCGATTGGAGAAGGGTATACTTTCTTATTGGTAGACGGGTGGAATGATAGGATTCTCAAGTCGGACATAGTCAATAACAAGAAGTAATATTTGATTTCAGTTACTATCGTAGTATGGAATTATTAACTAATTGGTTGGTTCATTGAAGCCGGGCAATCAGAGTGTCGAACGTGTACTCGCCTCTGAAATTGAGATAAAAATTGATTGTCGAATTTGAAAACATCTTTTTTATATGTAATTGAAGGATGTTTAAAAAAGTAATAATATCCAATAATCTTGCACGTTTATTTTACTTTGTACTTCACACAGACATGAACATCATATTACAATTACACACTTACGCCACGACAGTTTTATTAAATCAATAAGAAAGAGAAAGAACGCACGTCAGCATATTTGTCTCATCATATATTACATTGTCTATAACTCAACATTCCATTCTACTCAACAGTAAAACTATGTAAACCTTAGAGTTTAAAATTTTCACAAATGATGTGTTCGAGTGCCAAGTGGTTGTTAGTGTGCATAATTTATAATAGAGAGCTTCGAAGTAAAATGTTTATATTAATTTCCAGGTGAATGAGAAACTGTTCGCAGCTGGTTTCATGTCAGAAGTGGACACGGACGCCGGCGACACTCTCAACAAGAAAGTCCGCAACGCACAACTAGCGCAGTTCAACTACATATTGGGTAAGATACTGTTTATTTATTTGTTCTATTGTTTGTCTGTTTGTTTGTTTGACCTTAATTATGTGTGAATTTAATAGAAACTAAAATTTGCATAAGGATTGTAAAAGATCTCATAGTGTTTGTCTACTTTGAGTTGGTCAAAACGTCGACAATATTTTTTGTTTTAAAAAATTTTAATGGCATTTGTGACTACGCGTATTGGTCTGAATACACCAACGACCAAAACCCTCGCTCTTAATTGGCAAATAGTGGATCATCATCATGAGCTCCGTTTTGTTCACTGCTGGACATGGTCTATTCAGAAGTTTAGTAGATACAAGAATTAGATGTAGAACAATATTAACAACATTTTGTAAATATTTATCGTCTCTTCCTATACACAGTTGTGGGTGACAGAGAGAAACAATCAGGCACCGTCAACGTGCGCACGCGAGATAACAAGGTACACGGCGAGATGTCCATCCAGGGACTCATCGACCACCTCAACAAACTCGTCAAGGAGAAGACTCTAGCTGAAGACAGCGATCTACTTAAATAGACGACTAGGAAGGTAGACATGTGATTGTTAACGTTCGTAATGTCAAAGTTAAACTATGTCCCTTTGAGTACCGTCATTATAGACACAATTATAGAACAATAGGTTGCGGTCACCGGTGACTGCTTGGTGTTTGACAGTTTAAAGAACAATAGGTGAGCGGACACGGGAGTCCAGAGGTGTTTGACAGTTTAAAAAGTAAATTGGAAGTTTTTATGCCTAGACGGCGCTCATGTAGATTTTAGTCTTGTTCTTCCAAAATGTGTTGGAAAAGAGGACTCTTGTTGTTGCGCTAACTAAATGGCGACCACTCTGAGAAGAAATGCCGAAACAAACTCAGAGGTCTGTCTCTTTTAAAGTCCAGACAATATGTATAATAGATTATGTGTGAGAACCGTGCAAGTTCTTTCTGTAGTGGCCTTTTTCTAAACAAAAAATGAATTCATATGCGAAAGTTGTCATGATTTTGATGTAATGTACGCTAACGTTTCAATTGAAATATAGTAATATACGTATGGTATAAGCCTTAAACTATTTCTACCTCTTTAGAGATAAAAGAAAGAACTATTTATTAAATACAATATTCTTATCAATATGTCTGTACATAAACTTTGACTTACGAACGCAACGATGTAATTAACTAACAGTTTTATTCATAAAAGCGCAATAAACCAATTTCGGTTATTGAAATACTTTGAATCTAGGTCAATTAGGAAAATGAAAGGAAATTATTCAAAAACAATACTCTTCCTTCAGTCGGGTAATAACGTAACAACGCACTAATGTCTCATCTGGTGTTGTGGGCATATGGGCGGTGCAGATCCCTAAGTTCTCCAACACGTTACAACTCAGTACGGCATCAAAATCGGACAGTCTGTCGAGATCAATTAAAATATATAGACCTACCAAGTACGCGGTGGATTTGTGGAAGCAGTATCGTGTATACAGCAAAAAAATATTAGCTTTAGAATACTAACACGCTAGTAAACAATTTTCTTTAAATCATGTATCAGAGAACGTCATAAATCATTTTTGTCAGATATGTCGCTCGCTCCTATCGAGTTGTGACGCATTGTTATGTTTTTTTGACGTGACAGTTTGTAATCATCCAACTATAAGCTTCAGTGACAGACAAACGGACAAATCAATTTTAACGTTTCCAAAGTGCTTAACCTGTTAAATTATCGTACCCCAAATTTGTTCATACAAAAGTAGTCTCTAAACATTGGAAATAAGGTCTATAATGGAGTTAGTGGAGAGCGGGTACCAGTGACTAGATTAAAGGGTATGGAATAATTGACATATAATACGTTTGACGTCAAAATAAAAGGTTTATTGGTCTTTAATGAATAATACTTTTAGTTAAAAAGTTAGTTAGTAAAAAGGTGAAGAGAATTTTAAGTATTTTTCCATTAAGAGTGAGTTACTCTATGCACCTGCCTACCCCCCTGGGGAAACAAACTTGATGATATCTGTAGTCACTGAAAGTTTCAAATTTATTTATTTGTTACGTGAATCTGTTAGTTGTTTACATAGGAAATAACTTTAGCAACTGGTTTGGGTAGTTTCCATAGTCAAAAACAATGTTTCAGCTACTATAATCATACTTTTATTAATTAGTATTAGTTTAGTAGGGATTTCTTTAATGTTTAGTACCGCCTGAAGAATAAAAATCTTCTACTATATAAAAATGAGTCGGGTTTTCCTTCCTGACGCTATAACTCCAGAACGCACGAACCGATTTCCACGGTTTTGCATTCGTTGGAAAGGTCTCGGGCTCCGTGAAGTTTATAGCAAAGAAAATTCAAGAAAAAAAAATTTAATCTACGAACGAAATGTTACATAAAACGAAGCCATCTGGTGGTAAAACGTTTACTAGTGCTGTATATTTATTGATTTGAATACAACTGAATTTACTATTTTTTCTAGAGAACATAGTATGCTATTTGATGCAAAAATAAGACATCAAAAATCACAATTTTCTACAAAATTCATTGAGATCTATCGTTTTTAACAGTTCAAAATAACTATTGAATATTGACTAGTTGGAAAGTACCCTACTTCAGTTTACCAATGGCATTTTGTCATTCCAATGTTGGGCAAAACATCTCTTGTTCCGCATTTTTTACTTTAAAAAACTGTGAATTAGACAAGAATCTAAATTATTGTTTGGCATTATGATATTAATATTTTTTTAAGAGGTTTTTGCTCAACAATGGTATCAATTAGGTTAAGAAACGCTTTTACAAAACCTGGGATATTATTTATATGAATAATTTCATGTCGTAGTAATTTATTTGAGTAGTGAAAAAATTTGTTTTTAATACGTTCTTGAGAGTTCTGTAGCGACCAATCGCTGTTTGATTTCGCAAGAACCGTACTTATTTATGTATGCACGCAAATCGAATGTTAAAGTTTGAGACTCGGGTTTGATTGTCGAGTCAGGAAAGGTATTATTGAGTTTTTTGTTTCGAAATTCTCGATAATAGCACTGAGTGAGAAATATTTTCTGGTAATCGACTTATTATAACATCTGGCGAAATGGTGTCAGTCAGATACACCTCAACCAATTCCTTTGAGAATAAAAGTCGTGATGATGGTTTGGAGTGAAATTCCTTAGGTAGGTTTTTTATGAATGTTATCCATACACCTAGGGATATGGATGAAAAGACTTAGTGCAAGTATACAGGTTTGATTTCGATGTGCTTCTTATGTTACTTATTTTATGTGTCTTCGGTTTAAGAATATAAGCATTGGATATGTTTTCAAACTTGCTTGTACAATAAATTTATTAATTCACGATTTATTTTGTTTTATTTTCGGAGAATATAAGAGATAACCTACCCCTTTTATAAAATACTGCCTCGTTGGCCGAGTGGTCCCAAGTGCGACTGCCGGGCAAGGGGTCTTGGGTTCGATTCCCGGGTCGTGCAAAGTATTACTGGGTTTAAAAAAAAATCTCAGTAATATAAATAGTGAAAAGTGGGTGTTACATTGTACAGTGGCGTAATGTGCACCTCTGCCTACCCCTTCGGGGATAAAAGGCGTGATGATATGTTATAAATAAAAATAATTATTAGTTACTCACAATCTAAACACGACGATTTCTCCAAATAAGATGATCACGGACAAACAGACGCCATACAGCATCAGTATGAGGACGGGCCGCATGTCCATCAGCCCCACACTGCTGAACGAGGACATCTTGGTCGTGCAATGAGGCTTGGAGACTTGCAATCGCTTCGACAGAGCTGATTGTAGACCGGACTCACGAACTTGTTTGAAACTGTAATCATTTAGTTTTTTAACCAGGACTTTTAAGACTGTTCACAAACCATCCCTTAACTTTATAAAAGTCACTTAGTAGAGCCCGCTCAACGTTAATAGATGTCGAGCCAGGCCTAAAAGAAGATGGCGGTACGAACTGGACATGCATAACAAGAGTTGGTAGGAAAAAGCTTTATATAGGGAGGAGTGGGACAGACAGGCCTTGGCCCTGCAGTACGACGATCAAGGCTGAAAATAATATTGCATTAATACCGGTGTTAGCAAAGGTTTTCGAAAAGGTGATATATAACAATTTATACAACTACTTTGAAATCAATAACTTATTTACAAATGAACAATTTGGCTTTCGTAAGGGTAGATCTACTATTGATGCTCTTATTAAATTTCTGAAAAAAATAATGACCGGATTAGACAACAAAGAACAAATGATTGCTATTTTTATGGATATGTCGAAGGCTTTTGACTACGTTGACCATAACATCTTACTTGACAAACTGGATAGGTACGGGATAAGAGGGAATGCACTAGATCTAATAAATTCTTATTTATCTAACAGATACCAGATAACAAGTATAACGAAAATAGACAAGGACACAAAATACGAACATATTCACATGTCGGACCCTAAAATAGTTAAATTTGGCGTCCCCCAGGGTAGTATCCTCGGGCCTCTTCTATTCATTATATATATTAATGACCTACCAGGTTCTATGAACCAGGAAATCATATTGTTTGCTGACGATAGTACGGCGATTTTTGCTGACAGCGGTCAAGAGGATTTTGAAGGACAGGTAACTAAATCTCTCGAAGACATTATAAACTGGATGATATTAAATAACTTACATATAAATATTACTAAAACCAACTATATGTCCTTCACAAATAAAAGCACAAAATTGAAAAAAATTAACATACATTATAAAGGTACAATTATAAATCAAGTCAATAATGCAAAGTTCCTTGGAGTCCATATCGACTCTGAACTTAACTGGAAAACGCAGGTAGACGATGTATGCAAGAAACTAAACCAGTTTTCATATGCCCTATATGTACTTCGAAAAGTAGTAAATGAGAACGTACTATTAAATGTATATCATGCATATGTGGGCTCCACACTTAAGTATGGTATATTATTTTGGGGTAACTCCACTAACAAAGAATTTGCATTCAAAGCCCAAAAGAAATGTATCCGAAGTATATGTGGACTTAAACAGACTGATTCATGCAGAACGGAATTCAGAAGGTTAAAGCTCCTAACTCTGGCGTCAATGTATATATTGGAAGCAGCCTCAATCACAAAGCGCGATATCAGTAATTACGAAACAATGATAAGTACAAGACATAGAAATGAACTTAAGTTACCTAAGAGTAGAACAGTTAAGTTTAAATCAAGTGTATTTTGTATGAGTGTAAAAATTTACAATAAATTACCAGATTCTATCAAATCCATTCAGACATTAGCTTCTTTCAAATACAAACTCAAAGCATTTTTAATACAGAAGGTATACTACACAATCAATGAATATTTAAATGACAAATGTATGGAATAGTTAATATCTAACATTTATTGTATTGTGTTGATTATTTTGGAGGAGGAGGTTTTCAATTCGACCTTATATATATATATATTTTTTTTTTTTTTTTTTCTTGTAATCGACTATCTTGTAATGTGTGACTGTAATGTATCTACGATTAAAATGTAATATGTCTATGACTATGATATCAACGTAAATATTGTATTGTAATTATGAAAATTATTATGGTGAATTTAATTTGAAATTTTTATACTTTGCACGCTTGCTCGCAGGCAGAATACAATGACTTTGAGGCTGTAAGATCTTCCTTTGTAAATATGTATTCTTGCAAATAAATGAATTTGAATTTGAATTTGAATTTGAATTTGAATAAAATAAAATAAATAATAGCGTGATGTGGCCTCTAAGATGTAAGGTGTTATTTATGGGTAGTTAAAAAACAAAAAACGTTAAGTATCATCGATCTTCTGCTATAGCTTAGTGATTTCTTTTCTTTTAGGAGAAAACTAGATTTTATGATTATTTAAAGATTTTTCACCTAAGACAAAACGGTACTAAGGTTTGACTGACCAACTAAATGTGTTTAAAAATCATGTGTTGGCTTTGGTCGACTGCGACGGATCACGCCATATTCTGTTTGTCGATTATAGTCGACTGTGGCATTCAAAAGGTTAGGAATAGATACTTAAATTTTAGTATTAGTCGAAACATAATAATTGTTGTCATGTTTAGCATTTCGTTCCTAGTATGTTTGACATTTTATAAAAGGACTCACCTCAGTGTCAAGGTCACTTCTAGCCTATCCCTCAATCAGCAAATGTAGTGTTTATGGGGGTGTGCTAGACGCATACCCGGGGGTCATGGAAATTTCGTTGTTTTTTTAGCTAGGACCTGTGCCTACTTTTTGGGATATTGCAAGGTTTTCAAGCGGCCAAGTACCTAAATGCTTTTTTTTGTAATAACTATTTTTTTCTATTTTATTTCTTTTTTTTAATACTTAACGTTGCTCCACACTAGGATTTTCTCCTGTGTTGCGCGTGTATTTACAAACATACCTACAATTTCACATACCTACACATCACACACAGACTCGGAACAAGACTATGGATTACCTACACATAGGGTTGTTTCATGCGGGGATCGAAACCGCGACATTGCACGGCAGCCACAGCGCTAACCGTGGAGTCAAGTTTTATAAAGCTACTCACGCGACTCGATACAGTTCGAAGTACGGAGACCCTTTCCTCACCGGCACGAAGGGATCGAAGTTGTTCAAGAAGTCCGCTTCCATCAGGTCACACTTTTCATTCTCCAGGAATGTATCCTCTATTTGTCTGTATACTGGCTCCACGATTGAATGGAATGCGAATAGACCCTGAATTATAGGTATACTTGTTGATGAGAAGTTTCCTGGCAGATTGCGTGGTACGTCCACTACTGAACATTGATCTATTGAACTCCAGATCGGCCAGATGTTGTATATTCAGCTTTGTAAGGTTGCAAAATCATGAGTAGGTACTTCGCGCCTTACCCAGGGTGGAACTGGAAGGGAGTGTTATACTCTTACTGACTAAAAACCAATTCGTTGTTACTTCTGCTCCGAGCTGGAGCCGCGGTAGGTAAGTTATAGCGTTTTAAGCAAATTGTAGCGACTGATTTGGATAATTTTAATAGATAATTTCCTTTCCCTGAAACGTGAACGTGTTGTTGCCGTTCAAACACACAGTCACACAGTATCATTAACTAGAAACTGAAGGAAATTATGATAAGGACCATTAATACGTATTGTCCCTTCGTGAGAGTTATTATAGCAGTTTACTTACATGTCAATAAATATGGCTAAGAGCTAAAGTTCACCTGTCTGATCCTTTCGACTCCCTCTTGAAGATTGTAATAATGTTTCTGACCCTTCTCCGGATCAATTCTCCTATAAATATTCTTCCGCACATCGTCATTGTACGGCTGATAACGCAGGGGGATCGTGAACGGCCACTGTAAGGATTCAACAGCTTTATAGTCCACTTGACTTCAAAAAATTGTTAAAGCTTTATACCTAGTATTCTTAAAGTTTAAATTCGGTTGGTCAGTGAAAATAAATTTCACCTACTTTTAAAACGAAATGGTTGTAATCGACGTCATTGGCTGCGAGCGTGATCTTAGCGTTGGCGAGCTGCGGCAGGCTGCGGATGGAGTCGGAGGGAGCCTGCAGCAGCACCACGATGTTGGCGGAGTACGCCGCGTACAGCGCCATCAGCGCCGTGAACAGCACGAACACCATCAAGCGACCTGCACCAAGCCGATGCCGCATGACTTTAGGGTGGTTCTAACCAGTAAGAGTTTAAAAATCTCTGCCTCTCTCTTTTTTGAACACTGACAATCATCCAATGACTTTAATCGCCACGAGATAGGCAAGAGGGAGCGATAGACTCTTACTGACTAAATACCACCCTATCCTCTTTTTTCTTCTCAGTCAAGAGAATTTGTTCTCCAACCTGCTTTTAATAAATAAGCTATAGGTAAGTTTACCTGAAAGTTTTCTAGGTTCCATAGCACAGCCTTGTTGACCAATAGCGCTAACCGTCAGCAGTAATGCATCACCAATGGTGTTCACTTGCGTTTGACCCTGGGCCGATAAGAACGACATAGAAATTAAAGGATGGTACCTACTTACCACTCTATGTAAGAGGATGACACCTTACAAAAGTAGTCTCTAAACATTAGAAATAAGGTCTATAATGTAATGTAGGTAATATTAGTAGAAAGCGGTCACCGGTGACCGCTTGGGGATTTATGGGTTAATAAATTTTACTGCCACAACTATTTTAATCAGACGATTAGCCAATGGCCCTAACATCAAGCAAGACAAATGTCACGATACAGATGGCTTTTCGTGTGTTAGAGGATTTGTGAAGAAGAGAAAGTTTTCACTTCCAACGGACTTTGCAGGAGACAAAAATTAAGGGAATGTTGTAGGGCAAAAAGAAGGTCTCGGGAGAAAATTAAAATAACCTTACCTTCCTCCCTTTAGCTTCCCATTTCGCAGCCAAATACACAGTTATTGTACCAAGTATAGCACAGACAAACATCGCAACCCAAACGTTAGTAGAGAATGGCATGGTGAATATATTCGTGACGTACGGTAACGGAGGCTGACGGAATATGAAACGCACTTGGAATGGAGCTAAACTATCCGTGTAGGAGACCACTTCCAGACGCTCTTCTGTTATAACCAAGTTTGTACCTAAAAGAAAATAAGATTTAGGTTCAGTTTCCATTGTAAACTAAAGTTTGTCAGGAACTGATGTTTCACATTGAGACTCTGAACAAACATTTTTAGTCCGTACTGGTATAAAATACGTGATAAGTCGTGCAGAAGCCTGCTATTCACTGAGAAGACTA